TTCCATGATATAGTTACTTGATCTGACGTTCCATTTAGGGTAATGATATTTTCTTTTATCCCCCAGATCCTATCACAGTACCTGCTCAGTAAACCTTTGTGAAAGGGGTTGAAAGTTGCTGAGGACTGTCTGCTCCTTCAGAAGAAAATGATTGGCACTTCCTGGGCATCCTTTGTTCCTGAAAAATGACTGCAATTTCCAGTCTCCCTCATATGTTGATCATCATGGGCTGGGATAGAGTTCAGACATACTGATCTCATCAGTGCAAAACTCAGTAGCTCAGTGACTGGATTCTATATTCCACAATATAGAAATGACTAGATTTGGAAATATGTAAGTCAAGAGGTTGTTTTTTGTTTGTTTGTTTGTTTGTTTTTTAATGATCTTCAACGCCACCCTAGATACCTAGACGATGCTGGTTGCTAACAGCTGAGCTACAGTTTAGAGCTTACATGTAGCTTCCTGGGTAGTCCAGGAGACCAGCCTCCTTGTTGCAAATATTTCCAGCAGATGACTCTGCTGGAGATGCCACAGTGATGCCGGTGACAGGCTGGGGTTGAGCTGCCTCCAGCTCCCAAATGGAGATGCTCTTCCATTTTATGTGGTTTTAGAGGATCTCGTGGCTTGAATGTGGGGGAAAAGGCTCTACAAAAATGGATCTGTTACTTTAGGAGATGATGGTGCACTCAGAGAAAAAGGGAGGAATAGTCACCTCCTAAGCACATTCCTGCATGGGGTGTCCCCAGTCTGAGTGTCTGTGAGAGTATTTCTTTGCCCAGGTGAAGAGCTCTGCCCGTCTTCATGAACCACCTGAGTTGGTCTTTGGGCAACTGGAGCTGTGTTTGGGGGAGTCTTGGTGACAGCATCAGCCTCTGCTGCAGACCGGTGAGGACAGGGGCGCCCCTTCTCCCTGCACCTCCCCTTCCTGCCACAATAAGGACCACTGCTCGTGAATGGATCAAAAAGAAACCATTTGACCAACAGCATGCGAAGGGGAAACCAACTTCATCTGACAGATTGTGTGTGTGAACATTTCCAGTGCAGTGCTGACCAAGTCTCTGAATGTGCTCTCTCCCTCCCCTGCTGTCGATTCAGCATTTCTTCAGATTAACATCTTTCTTAACTAGTCATGATTGCCAGCTATTGAACAAATGCTCTACTTTTGGGGACTTCTCTGTGAAAACCGAGACGTGGGAAACAATTTTATTGTATTACTTTTCCTCCTAAAAAGGCCCAATCTGTTTGGTTTCATGTTGCATGCTCTTGGGTAGCAAATTTTTTTGAAGACTTTTCTAATTCTGAACAAATGTCAATTTAAGAAGTCATGAACCTCAAGGACAAATGCATTTTATTTCCTGCTAGCTTATTCCGGGATCTTGACGAGAATTGCATGGGGCTACCTCCAGTGAATGTTCCCAGGCCATTCACTGCCTATTGGTTAATGTGACAGTCATTAAGCAACTGACATAGGATGTGAAGAAGGTTGAGGACAAATACATTTAAAATCAATATCTCTTAAAACTTTTTTACTGGCTAAAGCGGAAGTGTGCCATTCATCTCTCAGTGCTTGCTTTCTGCCATATTGATTTCTCAGATCTAAAGGTTGGGGTGAGTAGAACTTTGGCACTTCTTTTTCTCCAATGGAATGATAATTTTTTCTTTCAGACCAAGTTGCCATATTGTCCTTCTAGGTTTTAATGCTCTAAGACCTTTTAAAAAATTGATAAATCCCATAGCATAATTTCAACGATTACTTCAGTGTTTGGACCCGTGCCGGGGGAAGTATTCAGGTCCATGGTTACTTATTCATAATTCTGAAATCTGGGGAACTCTGAAGAAATAGAAGCTTTTTTTCATTATGTTTGGCACAAATTAATTTGGTGACAAAACCTGACCTAAATGGATGCAAGGCTATTTATAGTCTGTAATAATCTTATATAGTATGACTATTAGTAACTATTGCTGCAGAAATCTAACGTGTTTGACCAAGGGTGCTGCCCTAGAATCTGCCAGGGATATTATAAACTAAACCCAGCTCACTTCCTCAAATTAAAAAACAAAACAAAACAAAACAAAAAACCTATGAATTCCAAAATACATGTGGCTCTAAGAGTTTTGGGTTAAGGAATTGAAGACCTGATCTAAACTGTTAAGGTAATGATTTTTTACTTGCCTGCTAATTTCCAGCCAAAGCCACAGAGCCAAGAGAAATGACAAAATCGTGGATGCAACTTGAAAGGCACAAGAGCTGCAGTGACCCGACTTGCTCTCTACTTTAGCAGAAGATAAGTTTCTTGCTCACCCTTGGGTGTCCCCATCTGAACACCAGGCTCTTCCAGCGTATTAAATGAGACTTGACCCGATTACCAACATATTGCTTTATTTCTTGGTGGTAGTAAATTAAGGCTTTCTAGAGTCATACAGCACGCAGTGATTGAACATTAGAAATAAAAACAACAACAACAACAAGAAAACAATGAGCATTCAATTTTGCAGAGGCAGGAAGGAAGCAATGTTTTAAAATGGATAAATTTCCTAGTGAGACATTTTGCTTGGTCTCTAAAAATCTGCTGAGCTGTTTCCCCAGTGACCTTCACCATAGATTCATATCCCAAGATGGGTGGGGTGGGTGGGGTGGGACAGAGTGGCTGAAGAGAGGGCTGGGGCAAAGGGAGAGACTGTGAGAGACAGCATGGGCTGGGCAATGAGTATGGAAATCAGCTTTGTCTCATGTGTGGAAGACAGTTTAGGCGATGTGGTCAGGTGGTGGTAATAAAGGTATTTGTAATGGGACACCCCTTCTCTGGTTCAGGGCACCATTTCGGATCTCTCTTCTCATTCCCACAGTATGAAAATTTGCCACTTGAAGACCCCAGTGCTAATCCTTGTGACTCTCAACTCCTCGTGACTCTGAACTCCTTAAATGTTAGACATGGTCACAAGCCACAGAGCATGAGAATGCTACCTTCAACCTCTTTCATGGTTCTAAACACTGCGACTATCACGAGACACTCTCCCCAGCCAAGTAGTTCACCTCCCCCCATGGCACATAGTTGTGATTGCACACTACGTTGTTGAAGATGTTGACTGGAGAGGAGATCTGTGCCATAGGATGCAGGAAAGAAACCTCCTGGGCGTACGCCACCTCACTCTATCTCCTCCTTCCCGACACAAGACAGACAAACGCAGGGAGCCTACAGTGGGAGTGCAGTTGTCGAGTTGTGTGTGAACTTAATCTGCAACCAATTCCATCTACTTGGCTTGGAGATGCAAAGGTTCGGGTTTGGCTGGTGGACCCTTTGAGAAAGCAGTGGATGACTGAACAGTGATGAGGGAGAGGTGTGGCCAGAGAACAATGTGGGAAAGTCATGTGTTTATTAACAAAAGGCAACCCAATTTCATGAAAATGAGCAGTGGACTTTCTTCTGGCGACCCGATTTCACGCAAATGGATTCCCATCCAAACAGGGCCATTTAAAATGCATAGTTGGCAAGGATTTTAAAGTTCTATTCCAAGGGCCTGGTTCGTGGGCCAGCGCCTCAGTGTGATCAATGTGCTCCTTCTTCCATTTGCCTGGCATTTGTGAGTGAATGGTCTTTAAACACCTGAAAGTCTGCTGTGTGCTCTTTGACAGAGAACGTGCAGATAGCCACAGGAAGAGGCACTCGAGGTGGTGATCTGCGCCGTTAAACACTTAGGACTTAAGCCCAACAGGCTTCACGGGATGGAGTCAGTATGCACAGAGAAATAAATAGATGAGAAAAGTGGAAATGTGATCGGAATGACAAAGAACCAACACGTCTGCTTCTGCCAGCTGCGGGGCAGATGTGTCTGCTGCATGCCACATGTGCACTGAGACAGGAGGGAAAACCCTTGGAAGACATGTGTTCTCTTGGGCCTCCCTTGTTAATTAAAAATCGTGAGGGTCTATCTTCCCATGTGAAAACGCTCAGCAAGATCCCCTTGACTGGGGCTGTGGTGTGTGCTGTGCGCGGACAGTCCACGGCCTGCTAAGATGGTGTGGGATCCAGTAGCGCGGGAAGCGCTTGTCACAGGAACCATCCACCTAATGGGGCAGGAGTAGGTGCCCTAGAGACTCACCCATCAAAAGAAACAGGGTTGGGGTGACATTCAGATCGGAGTTGAAGGACATATGGGACATTCATACTGGCACTTCCCAATCTCCTGAAAGCACCCGCAGAACCAACACTCTTGGAAGAGGTAGATGCCTCGTACGCTGTAGGTAAAGGCGCTGCTGCTTACTGACAATCTCTGTTCTCTCAATTCTAAAATGGGTATGAAGCGGATCCTCGAGCTGGATGGCCTCTGAGTCAGTGTGGGAAGCCAAAGCCCAGAAAGGTCAAGTGACTTGCCCAAGGTCACACAGCTCTGTCGTGGCAGAGCCGGGGGAGGGGGGTGAGAATCAGGTCTCCTCCTGCACAGTGCTGCTCGCCACAAGCGATTCTTTAGTAAATGGTTGGAAGCACTTTGTATGTACCCGGTGCTAGGACATTTATTTAACAAGAATTTGCCTGGGCGCGGGATTGATGAGTGCGGTTTAGGCCAATCGAGCAGTTTAAAGAGGAGGAGGTTTGGAGAGCATCATTAGCCTCAATGTGTGGTTGCTGTCGGCCAGGGAGGGGATGGGGGCGGGGGAGTGGGGACATGGTGTGTGCGCGCACAAGCCCGGGATGCCACCAGGAGCCGAGACAGAAAGAGGCGTTCTCAAACACACTGCCATCGGCTTTCTGAGGTACCTCTTTTGGGAGAAGAGAAACTGCCTACAGATGACCTGACCCCCAAAACCAGTTTACCGGCACAGCTCCCCCTTCCTTTCCGTGACCCCTGATGCCCACGAGCTCTAAGGAAAAAGAAAAGCCAGATCCTTAAGGACCTTCCAGGAAGCAAGGGCTGTGAGGAGCCAGTGGGAGGCGGTGCTTACAGACGCCGCTTTTAGGAGACGCGCCGCTCCGTGCGCAAGCGGGGCGCCTGCGCAGTGCGGCGAGGGGGGCGTGGCCCCTTCAGAAGAAGGCGGGGTTGGTGTGCTCGATGACGCAGCGCTTGCAGTGGCGCTTCACGAAGCGCAGGGCCTCCACGGACACCTCGCAGTCCTGCACGTTGAGCATCTGGAGGTCGAAGCAGTTGGCCGCCACGATCTGCAGGCCCTGGCCCGTGATGCTCTCGCAGGACTTGAGGCTGAGCCGCTTGAGGTTGAAGCAGTTCAGGGCCAGGCACTCGAGGCCCGTGTCGGAGACCAGCGGGCACTTGCCGATGTCCAGGGACTTGAGTTTGGTGCAGTTCTTGGCGAGGTACTCCACGCCGTGGTCCGTGATGCCCTCGCAGCCCCTCGCGTTGAGGTAGCGCAGCTTGCTGCAGTACTTGGCCACGTAGCGGATGCCCACGTCGGTGACCCGGCCGCAGTGGGCGATGCTGAGGTACCGCAGGCGCGCCTCCAGCTTGGCGATCTCCCGCAAGCCGAAGTCGCTGACGAAGCGGCAGTCGCTGACGCTCAGCTCCTTGATGGACGTGCAGTAGATCATCAGGTAGCGCAGGCCCTCGTCGGTGAGGCGCACGCAGCGGCGCAGGTACAGGTGGGTCAGCTGCGTGCAGTGCGCCGCGATCGTGTGCAGCCCTTCGTCCTCCAGCACGAAGCAGTCCGTCATGTCCAGGTAGCGGATGGAAATCTGTTTGCCATGCAAGGGGGACAGTTTAATGGAGGCCTCCCGGGTCAAGCTGATGCAGGTCACTTTGGAGCACCCTACACAGGGAGACAGAACACAGGCTCAGAGAATCTTCGAGAACCGGGTGTGTGTGTGCGCGCATGTGCCTCGCCTGGGGGTGCCATATGGATTCCTACAACACTCCCCACCCCCCCGATGTTACCCCTGCCCCTGTGGAGAATGAGAGCAAGAATGGGTTCTCCAGAGTCATCTGAGCCTTTATCTATTTTGGTGATCTGGGTTTAAGAGGCTCCCTGAGCTTTCGAATCAGAAACACCAAAGCTCCAATTCCACATCCATCTCTAGTTGCCTGACCTGGGTCGAATCAATCCTTCTGAGTCCTTTGTCTTAAAACCTGGATGATAACGTTCCCTGCAAGGTCGCTGTGAAGAATAAAGGAGACCGTGCTTGTAAATATCTTGCCCTGGCCCAGAAGGTCCTGGAAGCTCGGTAAGGGCTGCTTCTCACCCGACAGTGGTCCAGTAGCTCTGTGGGCAAAGTGGTAAGATGCTGGAGAAGGTCTGTCCATGACCTTGGTTTGGCCGAAACAGCATTTGGAAGTCATACCTGGCTCAGGTCTACTTCTTAGGGCCTCAGGGAGGAGGCTCAACTTTTCTGTCTCAAGCAACAAGCATTGAGTAGCTGGGGTGCTGGTACTGTAGGGGTATCATGATGATGCAACGAAATAATGGGTGCAGAGGTACTTGGAAAAGTCCAGGGGAAAGACATGTAATTATTAATCTAACCACTGGCCACCTGGAGACTCAATCCAACTCTTTTTGGTCAAGGAACAACTGTGTCACCTGGATGATTGCTCCAGCCCCTCACCCAGTCTCCTTGTCCTGCCTCAGAGCTGCTGGAGAGATTCTGGAAAACAGAACTCTAATCATGTCACTTTGCCCAAAGGCTTTGGATGCCACCCCCTAAAGCCTAAGGGTGCCCTGAGGACCTGCACCCCTGTTCTCTTTGACTTCATCTCTTACCCCCCTCCTCTGAACCAACTGGTCTCCTTGCTGGTTCCCAGACAGCTCAACTGCCTTCCTGCCTCAATGTCTGTGCACTGGCTGGGGCTTCCCCAAGTAGCCCCGTGGGTCATCCCCACCTTCTGAGGTCTCTGAGCACATGTCAGCTAACTGGACAGTTCTTCCCAATCACCCTGTATGAACTGGTGTCCCCTGCTTGACTCCCATTTCTTTTCAGCACTCTTTATCACTTTGTGACATGATACATTTATTTGTTCATTTATGTATTTGCTGTCCTCACTCTAGAGGGTAAGCTCCTGAAGAAAGGGACTCTGGGCCATTCACGGCTGTATCCCTCATCCCTGGTTCTTAGCTGGTGCTCACGAAGCATCTGTTGAATGAACAAACTAGTGAATTATAGTGAATAGAGTCTTCTGTGGGAAGATCAGATAGGGTAATTCATTTTATTTACTTTTAAACAACGAACAATTATTTTTCATAGTTTGGAGGCTGACAAGTTCAAGATCAAGGTTGCTAGCCAATTCATTTCCTGGTTTCTGGCGAGAACCCTCTTGCAGACAGTGGCCTTCTTACTGATATTCCCACATTGTGGAAAAGTGAGCAAGTTCTCTGGTCTCTGTGTTATGGAGGCACTAATCCCATCATAGGTGTCCCAACCTCATGACCTCACCTAAACCTAACGACTTCCCAAAGGCCCCACCTCCTAGTATGGTCACACTGATGGCTAGGGTTCCAACATAGGGATTTTGGGGAGACACAAACATTCAGTCCATAACACTACCCTCCTCTTCCCACAGGCCTTTCCCCTGAGGCCAGTGCTCTCATACCAAAAATGTCTCCAGAAGATGGCAGTTAGGCATAAATCATGCCCAGCACATTGGGAGGCCCACCCCAGTCACATGGTGGGGTGAAGGGAGGATTTCCTCTCTTTATGTAAGTACCTGCAAAATATATATGATTTCACCTCCTGGCCCATAAAGCCTATATAAGCCTCTAGGAAATATTTGAGGACCTTGATCTAGGGCTAATTTTGCTCCACTCAGGAGAATTTAAATTCCAGCATTTAAATGTGTTCAGGACTTTGCCCATGGCTTATGTAAATTTATACTATTACACAGTTGTCTGTTTTATATTTCATTACAATGCCTTTTATTTGTATTGAATTATGAAGTTTATAGAATGCTTTTATAAACATTTCCTTACCTGATTTTTAATCCATTTTACTGATAAGGAAATTCATCCTTAGGAAGATTTGTGGTGTTGAGATCTAGAATCCCTTTAATACTCTATCCTTTTTCAAATGATTGGAAGATATCTTTAGCTATCTCTCTAAATACTGTTTCTAGCCACTCTTCCCCTACGAATGTGTGTATAAATGATATATACATTATATGTCATATATAATTATGTATGTAGCATATATATTTATATTATATATTGACATATTTATATTTATATGTTAAAATATGCTGTACATATTTTGTGTAGGAATAGTAAGTGAATTGAAATATACATTGAAATGGGTGTTTCATAGATATATATGTTATAGATCTGTTTCATCCCACTACATAAACTGTATCTGTATTTTTCACTTTCTCTGTGCTCGTCCCAAATCCTTCTTGCAGTTCCAAGGCCAGGTGCTTCATCTCAGGCACCTCTGTGCCTGGCTTCGCAAGCAATATCCAGGGCTCCCAAGTGGCTACATAATAGTGCTAATGGGGACGGTCCTCCCACCTCCTGGCAGGCTGCCCAGGAAACGCCTGTGAACTTCAGGTCCTGGGAATAGTGAGGTTCAAAAGCCAAGTGCTCCCAAGTCAAAGATTTTCAGGAAAGAGAGAAGCATACAATCCAATGCTGGAGAACAAAGCTGTGACCCGACAGAGGTTGTCCCCTCTGCTCCATCCAGTAGCCCTCGTGGTTTTGCAGAAGGTGGTTTGTACCCCTCACCTTTAGATCTGAAATCTTCCTTTGTTTGGAATTTCTTATTTTTAGAGCAGCTGTAATCCTGCTTATACTGAATTTATATGTCCACAGTATAGTGGCTTCCCATCTGCGATGCCTGTGAAGTCACCTTGTTTTTCAAGATCAGATGACAGCCTTTGTTCCTAAACTCTTAGTTTTGGTTTCTTCTTATTATTTTTTTTAATATCTAGTAAAATCTGATGCCCTGCAGGAAGGACATTATATTCGATTTGGGGAAACACATGCCTCGTTTTTGAAACCAAGTCCCCAATTTAATGAAATACCGATTAAGTTCAGTTTTGGTAAAGATGCTATTTTGATCTGCTTGTATTATTTTAGATCAATAATTTTAATTTAAGACTGAACCTTAATTCTTACAGATCTGTTACATTTGGATTGAAAAGAAAATAAATTGGTACGTGGCTCAATAGGTAGCATCTGTGGTTAGCTCATGCATGCATACATTACAGAGATGCAGAGAACCTTAGAAATCATCCCATTAAACCTTCATTTTTTAAAGATGAGGCATCTCAGACTCAGTGAGATTATGAGACTTGGATAGCCAGACTAGGGAAAGTTTTCTGTTCCAAGGCTTCCGTTGGATCAGATCAGTCCAAGGAGAGGAGGTAAGAAATGACTAGGATAGAGCATGCATTGATGAATGGCGTGAGAGATTTACTATAGCTGTGCCAGCATGAAGTGAACATTTAGATATTGAAGAATCAAGAGTCTTGGAAGTACCTATACGAGGATTCTTGAAAGAGGGAAGCAATTTGGTTACCTCTATGGAGATGAGGCCGTAAGGTGATAGCACGGGCAAATATGAGACCCGAGAAAGCAAGGGGGCAGTGGGGTTGTGAGGAGTGGTCAAAGGGTGGAATGCAGAATATCTGAAAGCCTTTAATGGGAACTGAGATAGGAATGGTCCACTGGGGATACAGATTACAGGACCTACCCAATACTCAACAGGATATGGATACTACTCAATGGGAAAGGAGCAATCTGGGTTGAATTTATCTGTGGAGTTTCTTCAGTTAATTCCGGATTTGGTTCTGCTTTCATAAAAGTGTCCTTCGTTACCACCTCCTCTCATGATTGGAGGACTCCAGCTGTCCGGTTTTAAGAGGACCCTCTGAGGCAACTTCATTTGAGATAATTACAATATATGATACTTTGAAAACTGGCCGGCTTTACGGTGTTTCATTGATGTTTCAAGGTATTATTAATTGTGATAGTTAATTTTATGTCAACTTGAGTCGATGACGAGGTGCCAGGACCTTTGGCTAAAACATTTCTGGGGGTACCTCTAAGACTGTTTCTGGGTCAGATTAACATCTGAATCAGTGGACCCAGAAATGCAGACTGCCCTCCCCAATGTGGATGGGCATCATGGATCAGATGGGGGCCTGACTAGATCAAAAGGGGAAGGAATGGAGAATTCTGTCTCTGCTTGATTGTTTGAACTGATGCATTGGTCTTCCCTTGCCTTCGAACTGAGACTTTATACCACCAGCAACCCTGGTCCTCAGGCTTTTGGACTTGGACTACTGCCAGCTTTTCCTAGGTTTCCAGCTTGCAGAGAGCAAATAAATCTCTGCGCTCATGCGCGGGCGCACACACACGCACACTGTTTATGTTTCTTTGAAGAACCTGGACTAAATATTAATAAAAGGTAATATGTGATAATGACAAAAGCCTACAGCTAGTTATAGTAAGTTTCAAGGACTTGAAAAGACAGCTTTCATGGTGAGTGTACTAGGGGCACGAGAGGCAGTCTTACATCCTCTGAGGGAATTAAGCTGTAGACCAGCGATGAATCTTCTAAAGTCCAGTTTCCTGCCAGTGAGAAGGCCAGCTTGAAAACCAAGGGGAACAAGGCAGAGGTGAAATCGCCTCTGGCAGCCCTCTGGCTTCTCTTGGTATCAGCCTCAGGTTTCCAGATTCCCTCAGAACTGGAGCACACTGTTTGGAACCCCCCCGTATCCTGTGTTCTTATGAGTTAGCGATTCCCTTGGGTACACTGTGTCTACACCCATCACAACGGGTCACTGAGAGGCGTGTGAGAAAAGCACACATCTATCAGGCTCTGCAGATGAAGGGGATATAGAGGAAGGGCATCAGGCTTACAGAATGGTCAGCCAAAGGGGCCTGGCCCCATCCACTCACTCGGGCTAGAAGCCCAGGAATTTCCATTCCCCAAGTAGTTTCTACATTTCTGAATTTCAAAAGGTCTCCGGTGGAAAAGGGCACCGTACTTGCAGCCTGTCCCAAGGGTGCTCAGGGAGTTCCCTTAACAAAGACGGGGACTCCAAGAACAAGTCATTCTCTAACCTGATTTTTGAAAAGACAAGGAGATAAGGTGTCTAGAGAATAGGCCCACAATGTACAGAATCTTAGAATGTTAACGAAGCCAATTCCTTGCATTTTTTTTTTTTTTTTGGACTGAAGAGGAAACACATCTAGAGAAAGCCATGAACTGTCCCAAATCACAAAGTTTTGAAACCAGTCTTCACCACATCACAATGCTTTCTGTTTCCAGAATTCCTTGGAGGAAAAAAATGTAAGAAAACCTCTTTGTTTTCTGCCTCTTTATGCCAGCGGCTGCTCAGGACGAACTGAATGTATGGTTACTATGGTTTTGTCCTGAAGCCAGCAGAAGTGAGGCGGGGGTGGAGGGCACGGGGCGGGGGGTGGTGGGGTGCGGGTAGAGTTGCTTTCCAGCAAGGGAAAGAATCTGCGAAAAATAATTGACTGTCATCTGAAATATTTTCAGATGTTGGCTTTTGACGGAGAGAGCAGGCCCAGAGAGCGGACTTTGACTTCAGATTTTGATGGAGGGTATCATGTACCTCCGATGCCTGTAAATCCCCAATTCTGTTTATTCGCCTGTCACGGTGGTTTGTACTTCTGGACCCCTCCCCAACCGTCCCTGAGGTTGTGGCTCCAGCTGTTCGTTCCTTTAACTCCCTGATGCATCTCACACATTTCAACCTCTCCTGTGTTGGTCTGTCTTTGGACTGGGCAGTGGATGAGATAAAGAAAGGCTGTTAGTCCGGCTGGACCCATGTCTGGCGCCAAAGTGTGAGTCTGGGTTTTAATTCTTCCTGCCTGAGAGAGGTTTTCAAGCAAAGCAACCATGCTGGGATTTCCTTCAATTTTAAAAAGATCTAAAGGCTCCACTTGATGGGCCTTGTGCTTGCACTATGTAACTGAGAATTTTGCTTAAAAAAAAAAAAAAAAAAATCCCAAATCAACCCAAGGGTGAAGAGAATAGAGTGGGGGCAAAACATAAGGAGACCCATGGCCATGACGGCTTTTCCCCAGTGTCTGCAAAATGGCAGGCAATCGTGAGCACGGCCCAAAGCACAGACTCAGCTTAGACACAGCTTTTGGGCTCTCTGAAATAATAACCAGTGGACATAAAGGGCGGCATCTAAACGGCCTGTGTTCGGGTTAGATATCTGGTTCCTATTCTATAGGTTGCTCTGAAATTCAGGGACAGCTATGGGGAGGAAGGATGGGTTTAAAAGTCATGTTACCTTAACAGCCAGACGAAAAGATGACTCTAGCACCTTTAAGGAGTTGGCATTATGTGATGAAAAGGATACCTCTGGCTTCTGGGGTCGTGATTACATAGACGGTCTTTCTGGAAGAGTCCCCGTCCTTACTGCCTAACCCTGCATCTCTAATGGCTACCAGGGAGGGGACCTTCTGCAGGTGGCAACGTCCTCCTCTGCTTTGGGAGGGTGCCCTGGAAGGCCTCGCGGGTGGGGAGGTCGGCTGCCATTTACCTGACACGTCCAGGTGCTCCAGGTTGGGGCAGAGGGACACCACGTCGAAGACCGCCTCGTTGGAGATATTGTAACAGCCCGAGACCTCCAGTCGCCTCAGTTCGGGGCAGCACTGGGCAATGGTGTAAAGCCCTCGGTCCGTGAGCCGCCTGCAGCCGCTGACAGTTACGGTTTCCAGCATGAGACAGACGTTGGGTGTGTCCTGACAGAGCCTGCGGGTCAGCACCTTGAGGGCGCGGTCCACGTTGATGGTCTCGCCCGTCAGGCGGATAGTCCTCCAGAGCCGCGGGTCCCAGGCCAGGTTGTACCAGCGGCGGCACACGCGGGCGCAGCGGCACAGCTGGTTGGTGGGCAGGAAGGAGAAGATCTGCACCATGCACTGGTCCGGGAGGCGCTCGATGCTGGCCTGCTCCTTCTGCGGTCTGGAGGCCAGCCGGATGAGCGGGTGGGTGAGGCGGGTCGGGGGCGGGGAGTGGACCATGGCCACCGTCTCCCCGGTGATGGAGGACGAGGACGTGGACGAGCCCCTTCCATTCTGAAATCCGGGCAGGTTCGGGGGACATATCAGGGCTGGGCTGGGCGTGCTCAGTGTGCGCATGCTCAGGTCGGAGTCTGGCAAAGGACAGAGAGCAAAGGGTTAAAAGGATAGCCCTTAGCGGAGCCCAGGGAAGGAGGCAAACCAGTGACACTCCGGCCACTGATATCGGTCCTGGGCAGACCCGCTGCCGAATCCATCACCGGAAGCAGGAGCATTTGCACATTTCACCCATTCCAGAAACAGTCCTCTATCTGCGGGGGTGGGGGGCAACCTTCTCTGTGGAGGGCCAGATATGGAATGTTTGAGGCACTGCAGGCCACATGGGCCCTGTCTCCGTTGCCATTAATCCACCCTGCCATCATAGTGCAAAAGCTGCCATAGACAATACGTAAACAAACAGGGGTGGCTGTTTCCATAAAACTTGTTTTATAAAAACAGATCAGCTGGAGTTGACCTGCAGGCCATAACCGGCTGACTCCTGATCTCCATGAACTGTGGTCATCTAAAGGGCACAACTTCAAAGTTTCATTATCTCTATTCCAGGAAGAAATCTCACATGTTGTGAACACAAACTCTTTCCCTTTTCTAATTACATTTTGGGTTGGCAGGTGATTCCGTTGCATTTACCAATGAAGGGATGAGTTTCAGAACAGAGGAAGACTGGCTGATGGACAGAGAGAGCATTTGCTGTCTTTGCTCTGGCCTGCCCCCTAGTGTCCAGTCCCTCATCTTTTGATAACCATACCCCAAACTCTGCAGTCTGGGGTCTGGGGAGTCACCCCACTTCAGCCATTCAGGTGGTGTTTCCAGGCCTTGACTATCTGTGGCAATATTTGTTTTTTCTCTTTCTTAACTCTGCCCTTTGCATTTGAATGACATGACTCCTGTACTATTCCTTGAAACCGGAAAGACAACCACTTAATAAGGATACAGGTGGTTTTTAAGTTTTTGAAGGATTAAGAGTTCTTTAGAATACCACTTTAAGAAGTCTGCTCATTACGTACCCCCCATCTTAATATCTTATGAAATAATTTATTTTCTATATAAATACATTTTTCGTGTACTTTGCATACATAGATGGATTGATCTACTTAAGATGATATTTAGTCTCTCTCATAAAATATAAATATGTTTATATTTTACACACACACACACACACACACACACACACACACACACACACAGAGGGAGAGAGAGAATTTATCTCCAAAACACAAGTTTCTTAATCTGGGAAGAAAGAAATAAGTGAGCGGGGCTGGATGTTTTCTAACTAATTTCCAGCTCTAATTACAGCTCTAAATACTTAAACAAAAATTCTATCCTTGTGTGCTTTTCCACATCTCATAGTTGGGAATTTTCAAACACTCATTTTTTTTTTTTTTTCAAAGAACTTCCAGTAATAGCAGACAACACAAGAACTTCTGACACTGGGGCTCCACTGAGTGTCTATTTGTAGTTTTCCGACTGGTGTACTTGTTCTACTGGTACAATGTTTTCTTTCAGTTTGCTTCTTTACAGCCTAACACGGAAAATGTCCTACATGTCAGTGACTTTGCTCATGAATCATCTCTGAATTAGTTTTCCTCCCTCCCCTCCCCTTGTCTACCTCTTGAAATACAAACACCAAGTGCAAATGCCACGTCCTCTAAGAATATTTTTTTAATGTTTTTGAGATACAATCAGTCCCTTCTCTATTGAAATTGCCATCCTTTGTTATTACGCAGTGGTGAATTGATCTCTCCCTAATGTGCTTGACCGTATTATTTCTCTCAATTTTGCAGCACTCCCTGTATCCACGTATCTTTGTCTGGTGACTCCGGGGTTCCTCCGAGGGACAGTAGATTTGTTTTGTCTTGTGATGTTGGGCTTGGCCACGGGACTTGCTTTGGCCAGTGAGTATTAGGACATGCGATGTGCCCAGTGAGAAGAATGTGTCTGGCTAGTACTCTGATCATGAGGCGGTGAGAGGCCCATGGAGAATACAGAACTGGCTGAAACCCGCAGCTTTGAGCCAAGCTCAGCCAAGTCCAGCGGGGGTCCCTGACACCCAGGGGAACCACAGATGTGTGAGCTAGAACGCTGAGCTCGGGGTGATTTGTTACACAGCATTACCGTGGTAACAGATGACAAACAGGCCTTCGTTACACTAAAGACTCCTTTGAGACAAGGATTAGAGCCTTATCGTATTTACGTTCTGGCAGCACCTGGCACAGTTTATCATAAGCAGTAGGTGCATATGAATTTCTTGCATTGAGAAGAAATACTTATAATGTTTAAAAAAACAATCAATTCTAGCTTGGCATGTACTTCTCTATCCCAGGTGGTATACAGACTGTGTTTTAAATCATTCATAAGAAAAGAAACGTGTCCATCTCTCTCTCGTCATCAGCTAAAAAATATAGTAAATCTTTAAGGAAAACACTACGGGATTTCCAAACTGCTATTCGAGCTACCGTGGTACTAACCTTCATTATGATGTGAACTTTGAGCATTGCCTCCGAAGTTAGCATTTTTCTTAGGCAGGTGAACAGCTTATTTAGGGCCAGAAGGGGAGGGCAATCTCAGGCTTTCAGCTCTGACATTTTCCTGGCTGTGAGCGTTCTGAAATCTCTCTCCTGCCCGCCTGCATTCTTCATCTTGAAAGAAAAGACACTTCACAGTGCTCGGCAGAGACCTGCACTTCTTGAGTTACGCCCCTGGGGGATGAACACGCTTGTGGTAGGGAATGGAGGATTCCTAAACTTCCATGTATAACCGATTCACTTTTCTTCGCTCTTTCATGCTCCCTGCACTGAGGGAGAGAATGGGGATGCATCCAGATTGACCAGAACTGCTGTGCTGTGAGTAACACATTCCGGTTTTTCTTTGCCAATAATCATACCCGAGTGGTAACGGAATTCACGCTCAGAAGGAGATGGCAGCCTCGCACATCTGGGAGGAACATTCTGTCCTGGAGAGGGTTCAGGAGCAAGTAATTGCTCTCTTTCCTGCCTTTTCTAGAGCTTAGCAGCGGAATTCTCAGGATTAATTCATGATCTCGAGGCCACTGCTCACCCACGTGGGGAGACAGCAGGAGAGCCTGTGGATTTCTACCAGGAAAGCTGGATGTCTCTTTCGCCGGAAGGTACTCTAGGGTTCTCAGGATCCTTCCTAGTTATTCAGGGACTCAGACTTTTTGAAAGGGTATGATTTGTCATGATTGAAAAATAGCACCTGATGATTAAATTAATAATAAAGAGCAATGAGTAATGCAATGGGCTAAATGTTTGTACCCTTCTCAAGTTCATGTAGAAATCCTAACCCTCAAGATGATAGTATGAGAAGGTGGGCCCTTTGGGAGGTGATTAGGTCATGAGAGTAGAACCCTTACAAATGGGATCCCTGCCCTTATAAGACTCTCCAGAGAGCTTTTGGATGCAGTAGTATTTACAATTATTTTATCTTCTTGTTAAATCATCTCCTTTATTATTATAGTGTCCTTCTTTGTCTCTTGTTACAATCTTGTTTTAAAGTCTGTTTTGTTTGATATAAGTATTGCTTCTTTTCACATCTGTTTGCATGATAAATATTTCCCCATCCACTCACTTTCAGTCTGCATGTGTCTTTAGGTGTGAAATGAGTATCTTGCAGGCAGAGCGTATAGATGGTGGTTGTGGTTGTTGTTTTTAATCCATTTGGACACCCTATGTCTTTTGTTTGGAATGTTTAGTCCATTTTCATTCAAAGTAATTATTAATAGATAAGTATTCATTGCCATTTGGTACTTGTTTGTGGTTGTTTTTGTAGTTCTTCTCTGATTCTTTCTTCTCTTGCTGTTCTTTGTGGCTTGCTGGCTTTCTTTGGTGAGCTACTTGGATTCCTTTCTCTTTATTTTTTGCATATCTATTATTGGTTTTGATTTGTGATTATCATGAGTTTTGTATATAACATCTTCTACCTAGAGCAGTTTATATTAAGTTGATGGTTACTTAAATTTGAACCCATTCTTTACTGCCCCCCCCATTTTAGGTGTAATGGTGTCATATTTTACATCCTTTTATTCTGTGTATCTCTTGGCTGATTTTTACAGATATACTTATTTTTACTGATTTTGTGAGTTTCTTGCTTTTCTTACCCTTAGTTATGGCCTTTCCTTTTCACTCAGAAGGTCTCCTTTAGCCTTTCTTGTAGGGCTAGTTTAATGATCATGAACTCCTTTAGCTTTTGTTTGTCTGAGAAACTCTCTCTCCTTCTATTCTGAATGATAGCTTTGCTGGATAGAGTATTCTTGCCTGCAGATTTTTTCCTGTTAGCACTTTGAATATATCATGCAACTCCTTTCTGGCCTGCAAAGTTTCTGCTGAAAAATCCGCTCATAGCCTTACAGGTTTTTCCTTGTTTGTAACTGTTTTCTTTTTGCTTGCTGCTTTTAAAATTCTCTCCCTGTCACTACTGTTTGCCATTTTAATTATATGTGTCTTGGGATGGACCTTCTTGGGTTGATTTTGTTAGGGGATTTCTATGTCTCCTGGATCTGCATATCTGTTTCCTTCCCCATATTAGAGAAGTTTTCAGCTATTATTTCTTCAAATAAATTTTCTGTCCCCTTTTCTCTCTTCTTCTGGGATTCTTATCATGTGAATGTTATTATGCATGATGGAGTCACTAAGTTCCCTAAATCTATTCTCATTCTGTTTACTTTTCTTCTCTCGGCTGCTCAGCTTGATTACTTTCCATTGTTCTGTCTTCTAGGTCACTAATTCATTCCTCTTCTTCTGGTCTGCTACTTATTCCCTCAAGTATATTTTAAATTTCTTATTGTGTTCTTCATCTCTGATTGGTTCTTTTTGTCTCTTTGTTAAGGATTTCATTGATATCCTCCACTCTTTTCTCAAGTATCCTTATGATCATTACTTTAAATTCTCTATCAAGCACATTACTTATCACTGTTTCACTTAGGTCCCTTGCTGTAGCTTCAACCTGTTCATTTACTTAGTACATTCTCCTCTGTCTCCTAATTTTGCCTAACTCTCTATGTCTGTTTCTGTGTGTTATAGGTGTCAACTATATCTCCTGCTGTTGAAAGTGGTAGTCT